TCCCATAAAACCCTGTATGTATTTCTGGTTGGGACCTCAGTGTCTCTGACGAGCACCTGGGCATAACAAAGGAAACTTCTGCTTTCTGAGCATTGTTTGAGTCTTCTCACTGTGTCAGGCCCTTCTCAGTTTAATTCTCATAACACTTCACCTTGTTTTTGAGGCAGTCTCTCTTGTTTCTGCCAGGCTGCATACATACTCCAGGCTAGCCGACCTGCAAACTTCAGGTGATTCTCCTCTCTGCCTCCTATCTCACCATAGGAGTGATGCTGTTACAGATGAGCACTACCATATCCAGCTTTTTACATGAGTTCCAGGAACTGAACTCCAGTCATCAGATTTGCATGGCAAGCACTTTTACCCACTGAGCCATCTCATCAGCTGTTTGTGTGTGAGAAACTGGGTCTCCTGTAACCTAGTGTTATGACTTTTCCTGGGGAAACACACAACATAAATGTCTCCTCACCCCAAATAGGGAACTGACAACAGACCAAAGCAGTAAGTCTACCAAAGTCTAACTTGACAGGTTTCACTAGGGTCACTTACAGGAGTATGAATGCCTCAAAGGCATCTGCGGCATCAGAAAGCCCCACCTCAGCATGGGTGATGATGCACAAAAGCTGCATCCTTAGATCTCTGTACAATTTGCAGACAGGTGGGCAGGTCAGTCTCTCTGGGCAGCTCTGCTGGTGTGGGAGTGCCCAAAGTTGTTTACTGCTTCCACAACCTTGGGGAAGAGATTTGAGAATATCGTTTGAACTTCTGAAACTTGTGAGTTGTTTACTTCCTGAGTCAGGGCACTTACTTCCCTTCTCCATCCTAGAAGGAATATGTTAATTCAGAAGAAACTGTTATCCAGTACTAGGCTGGCCTCAAATTCATTATACTGCTGAAGACAGTCCTGAACTCCTGATCCTCCTACTTCCACCTCCCAAATGTTGGGGTTCACCACCACTCTGCTATTAGCATCCTAAAGAGATCCAGGCATAGGGCTGGAGAGATGGCTCAGGGATTGAGAACACTGGTTGTTCTTGCAGAAGACCCGGGTTTGAATCCCAGCACCTACATGGCAGCTAACATCTGTCCATAACTCCAGTTCCAGGGGATCCAACAGCCTCTTCTGTCCTCTTCAGAGATTGCACAACACGGGTGCACTTACCTATATGTAGGCAATACATGCATATACATTAAAAAAAATAACAATAAAATATTTTTTTTTAAAAAGAGATCCAGGCATGTTAGGGGTGGTATGGCTGTACACTAAAGATGGTTCTCATCAAGAACTATGTCCTGATTAAGTAATTATGTAAAGCTGACTGCACTGTTTAGAGCATTAACCATAGGAATGCCTACTGTCTGAAGGTCATAATATCTGGTTTTTCTATCATTATAAAAGATTCATAAAAGGGGGCCAGTGAGATGGCTGAGCAGATAAGGGTGCTTGCCACCAAGCCTGATGACCTATGTTCAATCACCAGAGCCTACATGGGGAAAGAACTGAGGCCTATTGTTTGTCCTCTAAACTCCACATTTGCTTTTTTTTTTAAAAAAAAAAAAAAAAGAAGCCTGAGAGTCTACCTCAATGGTAGAGCACTTGCCTGGGCTGCATGAGGCTCTGGATTCAGTTCCCAGCACTGCAGAAAAGCAGAAGCAGCAACAGTGATGCCCAAATTAAAGTCACTGTCAAGCCTGCTTATTCAATCATCCAGTAAATATGCTGAGCCAGGCTTGGTTGCACACGCCTTTAATCCCAGCATGTGAGAGACAGGAGGAGGAGGATTCTGAGTTCCAGGCCAGCCAAGGAACATAGAGAGACCTTGCCAAAAATAAATAAATATGTTGGCCATATTGGCCAGGTACAGTGGCACATGCCTGTAATTCCAGCACTTAGGAGGCTGAGGCAGTAGAATGCCGAGAGTTTAGGCCAGCCTGGACCTTAAAAGACCATTGTTATGAAACACCAAAAAAACTTCTATGTCAGGTACAATCAAGTTCTACATGAAGTAGAAATAGGATTCCTGTAAACCATGTTTACAGGAGCAGTTGAAATATCAGCAATAGTTACCCTGGAACACAAGAGCCCTCAGGTACAAGACTCTTACCTTTTTTCTTGCAGAAATAAGATTTATTTTGTACAGGATCACGTGGAGTTAGTATCAATGGGTATAAATGAAATCAGAAGGAAATCTGAAAGATACTAAGAAAGAACTTACAAAACAATCTAAAAATAGAATAAGCTGGCTTGAGAGGAGCAAAATCCTAACAATACTGATTCCAGGAACTCTACACGCAGCACTCACTGGTGACCTGTCTTAATCTCACATGGCTTCAAACTAAATCACCTACAGTTCATTTACTCAAAAGCACTAGCATATGGCATGTTTGTTTTCCTGTGCACATCTTTAACATAGTCTTACATATACAGTTGTCTACCTGTTACCACAAATTTTCTGTGTAGAGATATTTACTAAAGCTTTCCCTTACCAATGAACATTCATAGTTTAATAACAAGAGTTTCCAATCTTACTGGCTGCTTTGAATCTTTCTGGCTGTAAAGTATGGGAAATATCACCTTTTATAAAATGGAGATTAGGCCTCACAGTCATAATAAAGATGCTTCAATGGCCTAAATGCTTAGGCTCCCCTCCTAAATTCTTGTCAAAACCCTAATCCCCAAGGTGATGACTTTAGATGAGGCCTTTGAAACACTCCACTCTTATAGTACCTTTTTAAAACAGACCCACATTAATTTGTTTGCCCCATCTACCACAGTGGAACATTCAAGAAAGGCCCCATCTGTGAATCAGAATATCCTTCACCAGACACAGGCTCCAGCACCTTAAGCTTCCCAGCCTTTAGAATACAGCATTTTTTCAGAAGCCTGAACAGACTAAGGCAGGCAGGATGCAAACCTAGTTTAGTCTTTGTGTTCCAGTAGCTGTTTGGATCTCAAGAACATCCATCATGCTTGCTACCCGTGTTAATCAGGGAACTCCCATTAATATGCAAGGCATCTTCTTCCATGCTGTTATAAATATGAAAGGAAATGTAGTAATAATCCTCACATGCGTCCTGGAGTAGGTATTCCCAAGTAGGTTCATTTGACACATAGGAAACTTCCAAGATGTGAATTAACCACTTAACTTGCTTAGAAGTGAGGTTTAAAATAACACCCAGACAGCTGGGCATGATGGCACACACCTTTGATCCTATCTAGAAGCAGGCAGATCTCCATGACATCAAGGGTAGCCTGGCTACATAGAGTTCCAGGTCAGCTGCAACTATAAGGAGACACTGTATCAAAAACAAACCCATTCTCAACAACCTGTTGCTGTTGCTGCCAAATGTAGGGCCTTGAATTCACCATGCAGGAAGACTCTCAATCCCCCTGCCTTTACCTCAGGTTTACTAAACATCTGGTATATGTTACTGGTTTACATCACCACACCCAGCTCAGATCGCCCTCAACTTACTAAATCATCTTCTTACAAAAAAACCTGAATGATAGTCCTTTCTCAGGAATACTTCTCTCAGGACAACTGAAAATACAAGGTTATCATCCTCATCTAAAGGACAATGAAAATTGTTATCTACACTTCCACACTCTCCTATAGTCCAGAATCATTTATACAAATGCTTTGGGGGGGGTTACATGGAGAGCCCTCAGCAGGTAAGCGCACTGGCCACTTTTGCAAAGGACTCAGGTTCAGTTCCCAGCATCCACATGGCAGCTAACGACTGTCCAAAACTCCAGTTCGAGAGGATCCAACACCCTCTTCTGACCTCTGTGGGCACTCCAAGACACAGGGGCACTTAACACACATGCAGGCAATACACCCGTACACATATTAAATATATATATATATTACTTCCTAGAAAGCTACACTGGATATACAATACATATCTCAAACTACATTTTAACAGTAAGGCTTTCTCCTCCAAACCTCTTTTCAGTCTTCTCAACAGCAATTCTGCCAATCAAGTCAAAACCCTTCACTACAACCCCCATGTCATCCAACAGAACCCTGCCACCTCCTTCAGAAGTCTGTGACAACCTCCTCAACCACTCCCACCTATTCTACTCCAAGATAATAGCCATGATTTCTAACCTTACCTCAAACTCATTACTTCTTAACTCGGAGGCAGGTAGGCATGGTTTTCTTCTGCCTGCCAACACCTAGCACTTAGCTTCCCTTTTCCTCAAATACTATTATAAGCTGGGGCTCCACCAGTATTAATTCAGAGTAATTTTTTTTTTTTTTTTTTTTTTTTTTTTTTTTTTTTTTTATTTTGGGTTCTCCCCCCCGCCACCAAAAGAGGACGATAAATCTTTTTGAATCAGGGTCTCCCTACAGCCCCAGCTGCCCAGGAACCCACTATATAGACCAGGCTGGCCTTGAACTCAGAGCTCCGCCTGCCTCTACCTCCCAAGTGCTGAGATTAAAAGCATGCACCTCCATGCCTGGCTCAGAATCCTCAGGGCTAACAGAACAGAAACTAAAATCTCTTTGATCTTGTCAAGCCAAAAAACAGTTAATTGTCAGGTTCCCAGATGCTGACAGCACAGGATGTCCAGACTTTTTAGGAACATACTTTCCTCTGGTCTGTTATCTTCCCCAAGCAAGTTTAAAAAACCACACTAAGCCCTCTATGACTAGCTTTTTATTTACTGAACTAGTATCAGTAAACACACCTACATACCAGTCACTCACTCACTGTTCCTTTCCACAAATGATTTTTATATAACGAAATAATTTTTTCCAAGCATAATAAAACTGATTTACCACACTTCAGCATGAATATTTTTATGACTCAGAAAATAGGCCATACATTCTCAAGACAAGATTGAGCCATGGGTTCAATCTCTAGTACCTCAATGAAGGATGCCTATACCCCAGTAACCCAGAGGTGGAGGAGATCTGGAGTTCAAGGTCTACCTCAACTATACAGCAAATATAAGGTCAGCATGGGATACTGTCTCAATAACAAAAACACATAAATTGAAGAACATGAATTTTTTTTATTTATGTACAAAGACAAGCATGATCTCTTTCACTGAGAGGATGGTCTTGAATTCATTCGTTCAAGGTCGCTTAGTCCAACTGAAAAAAAGCACAAAGAAAATTCATCACTTTAAAATACTTTAATTTCAACTCAATTCTTGCCAAAATTCAATTACAAAAGCAATGCCTAAATTGGAAATGACCTGCCTAAATTGCCAAGTCCTACTAACTTACTTAAACATTCATTCAATGCCTACCTTACAAACCTCACCTATATTTCAGAATGATTTGGACACACTCATTCCCTCCAAGAATTATTTCCCAATACAGTACTACAGAAAATGAACTTAACCAAGTGCTCTGGATAGTTACTAACTACCTAGTTATTACTACAGTTCATCTTAGCCTAAGAAAGTAAGATCAGAAAGTCACTGAGTACCCCAGCAACTATTCCCTCATCTGAGACAAACTTGCCCACACTGAGTCAGTCAAATCTCTACAATGTAACACTGAGCTTATAGAGGTTAAGTAATTGGTCAAAGATCTGAGTTTAAACCCTTTTCTGTCTCTGTTGCAACTCACATAACCTACACCCATTAAATACACCATCAAAAAAATATTTACTTTGAACAAGTTGTCCTGAACATTCTATACAAAACAATCACTAGGCAAAAAGCTTTTGGTTTTATCCCAAGGAGCAAATAAACTCATTTTTGCCCTTTCCACCGTATAACATTCCTGGCTAGTGTTTGGTTAGATATTCAGTTTCTTAAAAGACCAGTAAGTGTAAAATATGTGCTGATTCCTTAAAAATAAGTCATCTTGCCCAGCATGATGCCTGAAGCTGGCAGTCCCTCACCCTCCCCATTCCAGCCCCTCACCCTCCCCATTCCAGCCCTCTGAGTGCTGAGACGCTCCGCAGTGTGTCCCGTCGCGGAGAGCCATGGAGACTAAGACCAGTCTGGGCCCCAGGCTCCCGCCGACTCCTCGGCCCCCGCCGCCTGCTCCCCTTCCTGCCCTGCATTATGAGGATGGCGCGGGGTCCGCGTACCTTAATGAAACCTATGTCCTTCGCGTACTGGCGGAAACACTGTCGGCACATGTTCAGCCCGTACTTCCGGATCAGACCGTGGCGGTTAGAGCAGACGCGGCTGCAGGGGAAAAGAGCAAGATGGCGTTTTTGGAGGCCACGAAGACCACCACATTCCTCACGCAGGCCCGCACCCGGCCCGCCGACAGCAGGCCTGTAATGGCGGCGCCTCCGAACGGTGGGAACCCGCCACCCGCGGGCTCCGCAACGTGAACTTCCAGCATCCCCGCGACCCACAGCAGCCCCTTCCTCCAACCACAAGCCATTCTCACCACGAGCGAGAACCCTGGCCGAATTTCCGCGGGTGACTCCAGTAGAGCTGCTGGTGACCCATCTTAACGCCACACGTCCAAAAAGCGAAAAGGAACGAGCCACGCCGCGCATGCGCTGTTCAAAGTTCTTGGGGCACAATTTACCCAGAATACACCGCTAAAACATGACGCTTGCGCAGTGCGACGACCCTGTTCCAGAAATGACATCTTTGAATGACATCTCTAAGGATGGCTGGGCGGGCGCATGGGTGACGTCACGGCAGCCGAACCTCTAGTATCTTCCCGCCGCGTTGCCAAGCGCCGGGCGCGGTGGCGCACGCCTGTAGTCCCAGCTACTCGGGAGGCTGAGGCAGGAGGATCGCTTGAGTCCAGGAGTTCTGGGCTGTAGTGAGCTATGCCGATCGGGTGTCCGCACTAAGTTCGGCATCAATATGGTGACCTCCCGGGAGCGGGGGACCACCAGGTTGCCTAAGGAGGGGTGAACCGGCCCAGGTCGGAAACGGAGCAGGTCAAAACTCCCGTGCTGATCAGTAGTGGGATCGCGCCTGTGAATAGCCACTGCACTCCAGCCTGGGCAACATAGCGAGACCCCGTCTCTTTTGGACCTCTCCGGAGTGAATCTTAAGCCTTTAAAATATCTTAAACTTTTATAATATACTTCTTAATCTATTGATCGCTCTTTTACATTTCCTTAATTAAAATTTTTACACTTGGGAAAAGGAATTTTTGCCTTGCCTCAGCACTGACACCTATTGGTGTAAATTTATAAAACAAGTGAAACCACCTGTAATGTACAAGAGTCAACGCTAGGGGGTGGCCTTCCATTTTTTACTAAACTATTTTTACTTAATACATACCTCCAAGAGATAAACCACATCATTCCAGAAAAAAGGACGCAAAGCTCTAGATACCTGAGTATAACACCCTTAGTACACTTGATACCTAAATGTACTTGCCTAAACCTTTTTATTTTAAAATTTTAATTATTTTGTACGTGACTAAACTTTTCTATTTTTTAATTTTATTTTATGCTTTTTTTTTTTTTTTTAACACTCTCCCTATGTAGCCTAGGCCATCCTGGCGCCCGCTATTTAGCACACAGCAGACCCCAACCCAAACTTGTTATTCTCCTGCTTCAGTCTCTCAAGTGCTGGGCTTGTAACACCATGATCACTTTATTTGGCTGAATTTAAAGTAAGAAGTTAATGTGATTGAGGTAAATCTTGCTTTAATCATCTAACGAATTTCTAAATCCAAGGAAATCTCTGACAAAAGGAGTTTAGATTCCATGTTTCTACAAAAACCCTAAAACTATACATAGCACAAGATGGTACAATTCAAAAAATTTAAAAATGTGAAGGAAAAACTGCACAAGAACTCTTATTAGAACTTAAGGACTTTTTTTTTTTCACGTATATGACTTTGGGATTCTGGTAGACAATCCTTTAACAATCCTTGAGCAGTATCATATAATGGAGGAAAGAGGGACTTAAGAGATGTAAGTTAATTTCTGTTTTCAAACCCTGTAAACCTAGTGGTTTCGGAAAGAAGGGAGGGAGGGAGGGGGGAGGGAGAGAGATTCTCTCAAGAATCCTTCCAATTTCAACTCTTTTCTTCTTTTCTTTTGCTTTTTGTTTTAACAGGCCTGTAATGCACTAAGCAAGCAAACAGACCAAGTGAGACAAAAACAGTGCAGACGTATACCAGCTCATTTGTGCCTTATTTTGGTTTTGCCTATGCGACACTGGTTACTATTAGTGGGATCATTGGCTGTACAAAAGCAGGTAGCATAGTCTTGGCTATGCTTGGAAGGGTTATCCAGCCTGGCTACTTATATTGGAATCCAAAGAATAATTGAGTTTTCCTAACTACCTCTGAGAGTTTTGCTGGCATTATGGGGGAAAGGTTTCTGCCAATCTGTAAAATGCCATCAACTTTGAGTGTACATACCCACCAGTCTACTGATGGTTCCCAAACTTTGAATCCTTATATTGGCTAGACCCATCACTAGAAGTTATGGTCCCAGCTTTTTTTGTTGTGAAGGGTGGAGCAGAAGTTGATATGGATTGAATCTAGGATATCACACTTGCTGGCCAAGCACTCTACCCCTGAGCTATATCCCCAGCCCAGACTTTCACTATTTTCAGTGACCATGTTCTTTGTGCTGTCAGCCTCAGCTATATAGCACATTTACAGATCAGGCTGAGCTACACAGTGTGACCCTATATCTAATAAAAACAAGAATGATTCAATTTCTCTAGAACCACTATTGAGTACAAAATCTGTATTACTCAGGGTTCACCACAGGGGCAGAACCAGTAAGATGAGTGGGTGGGCGGGTAGATGGATAGCTAGATCAATGATACATACACAGATTAGTAAGGGGGATTTATTATGAGAATTGGCTCACAGGCATCTGCAAACTGGAAATCATGAGATGCTAGAAGCAGTCTAAGTCCAAAGCCCTCAGAACCAGGGAAGCCAATGGCATAGCCCTCAGACTAGGACTGAAGGCCTGAGGATCTGAGGATCTACTGCTGTATATACTACAGTCTAAAGACTAGCGAAACCCAGAGTTCAAATGTCTGGAGTATCTGGGGAAAGTCTGGGATACAACTCCTGGTACCCACCCACCCACATTAAGGGCTGATCTTCTCCACTTAATCTACTAACTCACTTCTCAGTCTTCTCTTGAAACATGCTCACAGATACTCAAAAGCAGTGATTTACTAGTCCTTTGGGGTATTCCTTAATTCACTCAGTTGACACCCAAAATTGACCATCACACTATATTTTTCTATGCAAAAAAAACTAGTTGTCTATGCATTTAAACTTTATCTTGTGATATTACTGCTTTTAGACTGTATTTAAAAATCTGGGGGGGAGAGAGAGAGAGAGAGAGAGAGAGAGAGAGAGAGAGAGAGAGAATCCTTAGCTCAGTCTAGGACTTAGCTCAGAGCTAGGACTGTGGCTCACTGGTGGAATACCTGTATAGCAGACCCCAAACTCTGGGGTCTTTGTACTGTGTGTTTGTTTTCCTCTGATACTTTTATACTTTCAGATCTTAATTTACATCTTGTATCCATTTAAAATTTATTTCACTATTTCCCTAAGATGGACAGAGGTATGTTGGGGACTCCTGTTGTGTAAAGTAGAAGTCCCTTCATGTCCAGATAGCCCATGGGCTCGGCTTCAAATACAGGGACTCCTTTTTCAACAGAGTGCTTTTCTGGCATCTTCCTGACTCGTCTTTTGAAGTGCCCTCCACAGATGCCCTACCATAAACATAGCCTCCGGCTTTGTTACTACCAGCCTTTGCAGAGACTCCTTTTATCAGCAGGGTGCCTTCCCGGCATCTTCCTGACTCATCTTTTGAAGTAGCCATGGCCTCCGGCTCTGGAACTGCCAGCTTTCCCTGTGTGATTTTCAGGCAGTCTGGCAGCCTGGCAGGAGCCCACTTCCATATGTAAATAGGGCATCCCACAAAGTACCTATCAGCTAAGGCTTTTACCACTACCCCCACAGTATAAAGTATCCTGGTTTTCCCTCAATAATCGAAGCTGGATCACTAAGGCCTGGAGCCGAGCTGAGTCACTGAATAAAAGGGCTGTACCACTGACTGAGCTGAGTCCTGTGTCTTACTGCCTATGATCCAGCCTTCCCGGAGAGAGCTGTCTCTTCATAAGCCGACTCACGGACACCTAGCTTTAGCCGCCCCACTCCTTCCCGGGTGATCCAGCAGCCGGTGGATTTTGCATCTTGAGGAAGTGCACGGGTGAAATTAGGGCAGAACCCGGCCAGGCAAGCCCGGGCAACAGAGACCCACAGAGAAGCGGCAGACAGCGACGGTGCGCTCAGGGGACCGGTGCCACGAGCAGAATCAGAATTAGAGAGCCCAGTCCCAAATAGACATCAACTTATACAAGCAATATGAATTAAACATGTCCACTCTAGCAAAAAGCCCCATTTAAAAAAGAAGAAGAAACAGTACACGAAGTTATCAGAAAAAAAGTGACGGGGAGATGTGGGAGAAGTTGGAGGGGAGGGAGTGGGCATGTTTTTAATCAAAACATTTTATATGCATGTATGAAATTCTCAATAAATTTTTTTGGTCTTTTTGAGACAGGGTATCCCTGTAGCCCCAGCTGGCCTG